TGATATTTTGGTGTATGTGTATTTAAGTTACTATTGCCTTGTCTACCCCATTCTAGCAGTGAAATAACCCCCTGTCCAGTGTGAGATCCCTCTCAATAGCAATACGCAGGCTTTACACTGTGACGCTCAATACTCTACTACATTGTGCACTATCTATTCAGACACTAGCGATACAGGGTCATTGCAATGTCTGGTTATATTGAACGACTCCCAACTACTATTTTACATGCGTTATAGCTCGATATAATCGACTACACATCGACTACACATTGCCTTTTCAAATGTGCAATAGCGTGGTGTCAATCGTTGTCTTACGGAAACGAAAGACATAACGGGATAGGTAATAATTTTAGGCGATTCGGGGTACGGTGTCAATGAAATACAGGTACATTCATCTATAAAAGTTTATGTATTTACGAAAAGCTTTTTAGGTATACGAGATCCAGCTCGTAGAATAATAAAGTATCAATGTTTTTCATTTGTAGGTTTTTCTTTTCAGATTTATTTATTACTAATTTTTTCCGTCTTTTTTTTTATTTCTCGAATTTCCAATTCTCATATTCTTTAAATATTATTTTTTATAATTTAGTTTTTCAATTGTTATTTCTATATATATAGATTTTGAGAACAAGGCTATGAAATTCTGTTTTTTATTATTCTGTATGATAGAATATTTTTGCAACACTTGGCGCGCCGTAGCGCAACTGTTTTTCGTCGGTGGTGGCGCTATTAATATCCCCACATCGCTCGTGTACGAAGCTCATGGTAACTTACGTCTTTATTTATTTATCCCTGCATGTAAAATCGACAATGATATCAACTGTGAAAAAAACACGTAAATATTACTCAGTAATATTTCTGTAACTGGTACAGTATTTTTTAAAGATTATTCAACACATTTTGTGCACGTTACGATTTTAACACGACGAAGGAGGAAATATAAATCGCATAAACACTAAAAACCGATTTTGTTTAGTGTTAATTACCATTTTATGCAATATTAGAGAAATTACAATGCCTTGAATTCCAGAGCACATTTCTGGACGATTTTCATAAATAATGGCCCCGTTGTCCTTCATTTATTAGCATCTGCGTCATTGAAGTCGCGCGTTGACGTTAACAAGTAACTTTTATGGTCGTTATATGTTTTTATATCAAAAAGAAGAACTAATTTATAACTACGTATAACTTATATGTAAGTCTACCTTGTATTTATTATTTACTTTTTATTTTCAAGCACGGTTAAAATTCAAAACAGGCTTGAATAAAGTGAGTTATGCAGCTTACAGTCTGAAAGTTGTCACTTACCTGAACACCGTAACGTGGCGCCCTCATAGAATAGTTCAGCCGTTTCCTTCGAAATAGAGAGAACTGGATCAATAACATGTGCTTAAAATTGTATGGGGATGTTATGCAATGAGTTCACCACGCATCCCGCATGTGTTATTCCGGGGTGTTATTTAACTAGAAAACAAATTTCCACAATTTTATAAACATAAATAAACATCATCTACTAGCGTCATAATTCTAGGGTGTAGTAAAAGTTTCAAAAGGCAAGAAATAATATTTTTACAAATTATTTTCATAAACCATATCAAACTGTACTATTTAAACAAACAGACGGTCACGTGACTGCTGAGGGAATAAATCGTTTATTGAAGATTAAAATGAGTACTGTGAGGAATTAAAAGGAATACCACGATTATATGACATGAGAAACATAACAGTCGTAATCATCTTACACAACTTTTTTTCTTTTAAATGCCTGTTTTTGCATTTTTATTGGGATATGTTGTTCGTGTTTACTTTAGAATGCAGACATTTGACGAAAATCGCGGATAAAGTATTGTTCGTTTATACCACATCTGCAATGTCTAAAAAAGACAGAAATATGAAGAGTGCCTGCTGAGAAGTACTAATTTAATTGATAATGATAATTTTGTTGTAGAATTTGAACAAAAATAATTCACTAATTTGCATATCAATAGATGAGTTGCTGCATATATTTTGGTCATGAAATCTTCTGTGACTAATGTTTTTGATTTCCAGTAAAATTCTGACCATTGTTTATAATTTATTTCACACCTGTGTGATTTTTTTAATTATTTAAATACATGCAAATGTAGTAACAATATGGATTGTTAATTTTGACAACTGTTTAAATTATGTGCATTTATAATACAGCTCTGAAATGTTGATATCGTATTTAATATAAAAAGTTTATTTTCAATAACGTGTCAAGAAATCTCCTTACTTAGTAAATAAATTATATATAGGATCACATGATTAACTTTTCACCCACAATTGCAAAGCGATCTGAGTTGAAAATTCATTCAAGATCCGACAAGATACCAGAAACATTCCGACGTCGTGATAACGCACACATGGAGTCGAATATAGGTCAGTTTTTCAGCTGTTTTTAAACTCAATCGATAACACTAGCGAGTTAATAGCCTTCAGAATTGCACATTTGATATTTTCCCGGAAAACGTGGGACAGGTCAGGGTTAGATTCGCAGTTTTTACAATGCTAGACATTTCAATATTTCCGTATTATGCTATAGTCAATTGATAGCTGACAGTCGAAATAATTACATCCGTACTGTTTATTATATCATGTGTCATTACTATATTAAAACAGTACAACGAGGCCGCCAACTATAATGTCTAATATCTATCTAGCTATGGACTCATAGCAGTAGAATAACCAGACATTGGATGAATACTTAATGAGAAGTGCATGCATAACGTGCGTATCTCCACAGTACAAGACAGATTGAAAATGTATATCACGTGATAGTTAATGACGTCACATATTCATCCGACCATTTTTTCATTGTACGCGCTGCCAGATTTTTTTTACGCAGCTTCCGAGTTTACATACATCCCAATAACAATTGTGGAAAAATGGTTTGTTTTGTCAAGCTCACATGTTTGTTTTGTCAAGCTCACAGAACGTCATAATATATACAATAATATGTAAATGTATTCCTGTTTCTGCCCAAAATGTTGGTCAAGATGTCCATAAGTACATACCCATATTAGTATAATATCGCCGAAACTCATATAACATCGCTGGTACTCATATAATTTCGCCGATATTCGAATAACACCGCCGATACGCGTATAACATTGCTGATACACGTATATTATCGCCGATACTCGTATAACATCGCTGATACTCGTATAATATCGCCGATACTCATATAACATCGCTGATACTCGTATAATATCGCTGATACTCGTATACCATCGCTGATACTCGTATAATATCGCTGATACTCGTATAACATCGCTTATACTAGTATAATATCGCTGATACTCGTATACCATCGCTGATACTCGTATAATATCGCTGATACTCGTATAACATCGCTGATACTCATGACTCGTATATTATCGCCGATACTCGTACAACACCCACGACAATTGCATAACATAGCAAACCATTGTATTATATTATATTGTTTTTCACTGACAGAATAATGTAGAAAAAAACTCGCTGTCTTGAGTAGTGAGTGCTATTGTCGGCTTATACATGTATGAAGAGTATAAAAATGGCGGGAAAAGATGTGTGAATGTTAACAGGAACTGCCATTATGTATATAGAAATGACATATCAGTGTCGCATAAAAAGTGAAACACCCGTGGGTAGTAAGTAAATTCCATGTGCATGCACACATAAATATGTATTTCCTAATATATAATAACTCATCTTGATCTGTATAACGTTCATTTTAATACTGTGATACGAGATACGTCGTCGCACTCGTTCTGACTGACAAATAAAAAATAACAGGTAAATCGAGTTCTTTAAATCAGTGAATTAATAAAGACGACTCTACGTTTCAGAACCCTTTTTTACGACTACAATTTTTAATCAATTGTTAATGCAATTTTAATGCACGTTGCTTGTGAGTTTTGTAATATGTTGTATACTGAGAGGTTAAATGAATGTTACTAGGGCACTGGTGTAAACATGGTGTTTGATCATCGGTAGATCTACCACCGCCCATCGCAACATATTGAAAAATAAAAAGAATATGTTGATATGTGGGGTATTGTGACACTGTATATATATATCTGTATCTGTATCTATAATTATACTTTCGAAAATTGAATTGAAGTCAGTTCGTAGTTCGATGTTTTTTTGTAATATCAGATGAAATACTTTATTTATTTATTTTTCTCAAGAGGTTTGCCGAGAAACGATTTAAGTCTGTACATATAAGGGCCAGGTTTGAACTCCCGACCCGACGCATTTAACACTTCATCAATTGCAGCTATGACGTCATAATGGTGACTCACGCGTATGTGACAATAATTTTCATGTGCAGATGTTGGTGGAATTTAAAATAAAAGCTACACCATGCATGAATGAATGCTGTTAAGTTCACTGTGTGGCCCAGCGCCGACGGGTGTTTCTTTCACTATTCAACGAAGAATCATATATACAATATACAATCATATTTCTGTGGAAACGGAACAAAATATAGCACTGTATTTATCGTCTGAAAAAACAAAACATTTTAATTAATAAATAATAATAGTTCTCCTATTTGACAAACTATGTTGCATTTATTGGCATATGTCGTATGATGTAGCCATGTTCAGAGAGGAAAGGTTTAAATTATTTGAATAAACATACGTAGAAATATTATAAGTTGTGGGCGTATTAGGAAATCTCTGCGTTTATTGTTTTTTTTAACCCAATGTAATCCGAAGTCGTCTCGACATCATAATTAAGGTCTCGCCTGTAATAGCGGTCACAAACTCCAAGATAATGAGTGTTTTAAATCTGTTTGATTCATTGTATGTTTAAGCACACTCAGTTCATGTCGAAAACGATATATAGATGACGTAATAACGCCACTTGGTATTGTGTTGTCGACTGCCAATTGCCTTATATGAATGATTGCCAAATCACTTCGCCGTTCGGTTACCATGACAACAAATCCAGTGCTGCCACTGCGCATGTGCGAGAGGGTATATTAAGAAAAACTGGTTATTTGTTCGCGTATATGAAAAGCTGTCCGTCTATAGCGTCTACTACGATCGAACGAAGTGAAGCCATGCCAAGCTACAAACTGTATTATTTTAACGCCAGGGGTAGAGCCGAACACAGTCGTCTGCTCTTTGCAATGGCGGGCGTGGAATACCAAGACGTTCGCTACACTCGGGAGCAGTGGCCAGTGGAGAAAGCTTCAGGAAGTAAGTCGACCGTCCGTTGACCTTGATGTATCAGTAGTTTTCTAGGGTGATATCACGATTTTCTAGTATGGCAACGCGGAAAATAGGATGAAGCGTGCGCGGTCTCTTTTCAGCATCGTTTCCACGATGTTAATTGTTAGGCAATTGTGATTTGCGAGTGGTATTTCATGTTTTCACTGTGCGTGACGTTTTGAAACACTGGCATTACGATGCTGTATAGTGATGAATACCATTCCGAGACCGGAGTACAACACTATTCTATTGCTGCATCACGAAATCCTTACTGGATGATGTCACATAGCGGCCATTAATATTATATATTTTATTGACAGAGAGCTATAAATAGCAAACGAAGCAGTTAGATTATCCACTCTCACCTGACCTGCTTGCGTATATATGACTCTTTAAGGGCCCCACCGATTTGCAGCGCATGCGCACAAATACGCTTCCTTGATAACTTTTGACGTTTCTTTACGTCACATTCCTTCAGTTCAGAATAAATATAATACAGCTTTTATTCGAGTATATTTATAAATTATGCTGAATTCATCAATTATTATTACAGGATTTCCATTTGGACAGTTGCCATGCCTACACGTCAATGGCGTGATGCTGGCCCAATCTAATGCAATCGCTCGTTACCTTGCCAACGAATTCGGTAAGTGGGGCGTCCGTGTGTGTGTGTGTGTGTGTTGTCACTGTGTTCTATTTTTCGCCGTTAACGAGAAATACTAGAAGGTATTAGAATGCCTCTAAGCACAACTTGTCATGTAGGTCAGTTTGGAGGTTATTAAGTGTTTTTGCAGCCCATTAATCGCAGTCGCATTAAATCTTGGGCTTGCAGGTATGCGCCGCTTTATCTTAATATATTCGTGAGCAAATGTATGTTTTGTATAAATGGATTATACATCCTAGTATAATATGGTCATTTCAATACAGATCAACGCACTGTTTTGTCGATTTAAAGAGAGCAGTAAACAGAGGAGTAACCGCCTTGCAGTAAATGCTCTTTAAGGGTCAACATAACTGTATATTGACCCCTACTGTGGTTAGCAATTAGCATATAATTATACTGTTGAATACAATATAATATAATTGAATACAACATGAAAAAGAATATGACACTCCAAGTTGAGAACGTAAAAACACATCCGAATAAATGTTAAAGTGACGGACTGATTTTTTTTTTAATTTTGTCATTCAGGATTGTTAATGCGAAAGCTTTAATTTTAAACTTCGGACTCCATGCAATATACTCTACAGTACACAAGCAAGTGTTCAGGCAAAAATATCAAATTGCTCTGCATATGTTGATTTAAACGTATCACCACTCAGATTACATCATTGACATACAACAATACGTAAACAAATCTGTACGCAGAAATGATTTTCCATGGTACAATGCAGTCATTGATGCTGACTCGCTAACACGACGCGCAGGCGCAGATCGACTTTGGCTTGGTTACTAAAGTAAACTCGGTGTAATAAATGAAATCGAGCTCGAAAATCATCACTTTGTGTCCAATAACATGGTCAACTAATGAGGCCAAGCTGTCAATCTATGTGCCATTAACAAGTCATGTACATGAGTAGAATTGCGGCGGCACAGCCTAATATGTAAAGTAATGAATACACTGACACGCAAAAACCCAGAATTACCTTTAGTCCTTATACACAATGTTATATGACTATATGTATAAATAATGTAGCTATGCTAAAAAACCTTATTTATTTAAAATAAGACATGGTTTGGGCCTATTTTATTTATTTCTAATGTTTTTTTGATTATTTCCTATATATTTATTATATTATTTATTTGTTTTTAATTTTTTTTGAAGTTAGGTGACCACGAAAGCCCACACGATCATGATACGACAGTTAAATAAACAAAAAAATTATAATAATAAATAATGGGTGACACAAATGAAGTTAGAGTCGTCGATATCATTTTGATCTGTCGTCGTCCATCAATGCATATTGTGTTTTTGAGGGATTTTACGATATACTAGGTGACGAACGACTACACAATCGCACAAAGTGGTTGATTTGAATGACATCGCCTTACCCAATATGTCATTTTGACGTTAGAAAAGCGTACTATCACTAGAGGGCGCGTTTGGAAATAGTTGCCAAGTTGCACTTGAGTCAATATTATATATACTCTTCCCATGTGTTATAGACATTAAAACCCCAGTAGAGTGATTGCATTATTGAGTTAAATTGTACAATGTTGTATACTAATGTTTGAATAAATCTATACCTGATTTATACCTATAATAAATATGACATCAAATTGAAATACACGTGGAAATTGTATATTGGTATAAATATGTGTATCAGTTTCGTTGTAACCTAGGTCAACATACGGGAACTCTTGGCACCCGTTATCTCGTGAATTACATTTCACTCGATGATTGGAATATATAAATGTCAGTCGATTACTATAATTACTAACTGGCTGGTATGTTGTGCTTTTGGAGTTATTTGCGTGTATTGACTTCAAATGCTGTTTGGTATGATGTTATTTCATTGCCGTGTCATTCGTTGGCTTGTGCAACCTCTAAAAGAAGCCATGACATGATAATTATTTCAACCACGCAGCTAGCTTTACTGCGAACACGTGGTTATGTTTATATCAAAATCAATTGTGATGTCGTTTTAGGCATGGCGGGAAAGAACAATCTGGAAAAAGCCAAGGTTGATATGATAGTCGACGCAATAGATGACCTGGCACAAGCAATGGTGAAATTTTTTCATGAAAAGGACGAGCAGAAAAAGGTATTGTATTCGTTTGACACAAATAAATACAAATACAAAACGCTGTTTGTGTCACAAGTACTTGTCAAACTGTTGAACAATAATACGTGTGTGGTTCCTAATGTAGTGTCTAAAGACATGTAAACAACAGATGGACAGTTTTAATTTGAAAACCTCTTATTTCAACTTACGATTGCCATTTGCAGATACCCCTGAAACACATAAGATAATATATGTTCCACTTTTTTGAGGTTTTACCCATAATCCATCTAATCGAGTACTTGCGTTTTACACGTATAATCTGGCCAGCGGTATTCATAGCTCTAATGGTCTGAAACATAATTACATGAAAACAATGCTACAACCAAGAAATAATTGTTAAAGCTTATTTAGAACCTTCATATCTTTCTTATCTCATTCGTGTTGGAAAACAGAGTATAAATAGTATAAGTATCAATTTAGTTAGCGAGTGGCCTCTATGTGAAACTGGGGCATGCTTATAGTATGAAATATTATTGATCTTTTAACATCCTTCACCCACTTTCATAGTGAACTTTTACCTCCATAATTATGTGATCGATGTTGTTTTTCTTTGAAAAATAAGTCTCGTTGTCCTCGTTATTGTGAACCATAACGGTGTAGCTGAATATAAAGCGCGGTAATCGTCGCGCTGCGCATGTGCGAGATATATGGGTCTCATATAAACAAAGATGGCGATTTTGACTGTTGCGCAGATCAACGAGTACGAAGTAAGACGTTTCCAAGCTTTAATTAAGTAATTTTCATTGTTATTGGAAGGTATCAAAGTAGTCACCGGCGGCAGTCAGTGCAAGTCGCGCCAAGGTCAAACCTCATACTTGTGATTTCCATTTGAAGAGCGCATTGGATTGTGGGAAAATCAATGTTTATCAACACAAATGTCGCACATGCGCAACGCGACGACTATCGCGCTATAAATAGTGTTTATTATCTAACAAACATTGCGGTTTAAATTATAGGCCGAGGCCAAAGATGAATTCAAAACTAAAACTGTACCCATTCTTTACGGAGCGTTGGAGCGACTATTAATAGCAAATGATGGCGGTGATGGCTTCTTTGTTGGAGAAGAGGTGAGTTATATTTCAATTTGTAGCTTCCTGCTGCAACACTTTTTTGATATGGTGACTTGTGTTTTGTTGCTGCCCTACACCGTTCACTTTGTGCTAACGTTTGAGTATATCATCAGAAGCTATAGCTATGATCAACTTTTCAGAAAATATATACCAAGAACAATCGAGTGAAGGATGGAAATATACGCTTCATTGATGTCAATATAACGTGCTGGAAAAATGTTGTTCATAGTTTGATGACGTCATCAGTGCATTAAAAAAATCAATACGTACCACGTGACGGGGAATGCATTCCAAATACAAATGCGTTTGAGTGAATTTTCGTATAATCCAAATCAATCAACGGTTTTATCTGAATCTTTTTGCCATTGCTAATAGTTGTGAATTACGATACCTCTTACAAAATTCAAAACCATGACGATTACCTTAACATGCGCGGGTACTATGGGGAAAATGTTGAACTACAAAAACTACAAAAAGTGTGGCTCTTCAAAAGTGCATTTTACCGCCGTTTTTGTCCCTCAGTTAACTTATCATTGGCGTCTTCGGACACCACTTAAAATATTTCAGATAAGCCCTGTCTATTTTATGAGGTTGTATCAAAGGGTCGCGTTGCACTGAGCAAATCATGGGACAACTCGCCAGGCAGCGCAAGCGCTGCCTCGTGAGTTATTTTGTTTCAGTAATATAATCACGACGACTAGACGGGCCAGACATCGTTTTTGTAGGGGGGGGGTATCTAGACGCCCGTTGCCATAGTTAGTTGATTTGAGTTGCCTCGTACTTGGCCTCGTGCATTGCTCGGCGCGTTGCTTCAAGTATCACCTCATATAAATCGGCCTTAACATTCGTGAACAACAACGGCCAGCCCCCGTACGACGTTTAGGCCTTGTTTCGCGAACCCGCCGAATGAACAGGAGCCGAAAATGAAATGAAAATAAAATTTTATTTCAGCGTAATTTCTCGCGCCCGCCGACTTGTAAGTACAAACAATTACTAGTATTTTGATCTTATTTTTTTCCGCCCGCCGCTTAACAAACCTAAGTTTCATTTTCGTGGGAATATCGTGGTCAAAATACCGAAGTCTCGCGCAGATGAGAAACAAGGTTTTACATGGAATAACATTTTATTTTATTTCATTCCTTCGCTCCGATCAATGATCTCATTTACAATTCTTTGAGAATCACACAAATCTAATGGAAAAAAAGGAATTAATTTGTTTTCCGCCCTCCTAAAAAAATTGCCTTATAAAAACTCAAGAAACAAGGAATAAAAAAGTCTGGCCTTAGTGTCTGTTCTGGATTCATGGGATTATATGAACACTTTCATATTCACAATAATCGGACACATTACTTCTACTTCTGCAACGTGTCAAGCGTATAGTCCTACCATAGACCCTGTTGAGGGTATATGGTCGGACGTACGCCGGCTACGACAGTGTTTATATTGTTTTAATGCTCTGAAAAAATGATTACACTCAAAAGAAAGCTCGACCTAGAAATATTTGTTTAGAGGCTTATCTGTTAAGATTATACATTTATCAAGTAGAAATTCACACTCTTGCATTGATTTTATTGTCTATTCATAGTAGGAAGAATAGTCTAAAAATAGTGTCATTGGCGACATCATGCTTAGTCCTAGCAAGGGTAACTATTTTGCATGTTGGTGTTGAGACGAAATATAATTTGAATTCCGGATACATTACAACCTAGACGCTAATGGAGACCGAGATCACATCGAGAGCGAGTGTCGCGAGACTTCTTCGTCATCACGTCAACTTAAATAAGTCAGGGATCTGTTGACATGACGACGAGCGATAATGGAATACAGTTTGAGTGATAAAAACACGCCCCAAGACTTTCTCACTCTTAACGAGATCTCGGTGGTTTGTAAATACATGTACCGTCACGCGTCGTGATATCTCTTCTGTATGATAACATCGCAATCTCGCCATTGATTTGCATTCTTATGTTTTTTATTCCAGCCGACATTGGCAGATTTTGCGTTTGTGACAAATGGCGATTACGTGAAGAAATTTAACCCCGAGGTGTTGGACAATTATCCCAAACTCAAAGCTTTACAAGAACGTGTTTTTGAATTACCTCGCATTGCCGAGTGGGTGAAAAAAAGACCAGTGACCGAGATGTAGCCTTCCAATCGTTAGAGTTAGTAGTCCAGAAATCCGGAAATGTTGTGACGTAATACGTTTGTGGCTGTAGACGCGAGAGGGCGTTTCGATGTCGGCGACTTTTGAACTCGGAAACTGCCGCAATGTTTTTCTTCGGTTAAGCCCCCATATAGCCACATTGATGTTCAATAACTATTTCTATTTTGTTCAATGATAATTAATGCTCGTCGGTAGTCCATTGAAATAGCGCCGTATGAAGGGAACTTTTCACCAAACTCAGGTTTCTCAACAGACTTGCTACCAGTACTCCACACAAACCAGAAACTGGGAAATATTTCCTACCAAGCGTCAACAACAAGATAAACTATTTTCTAAATGCGGCATGTATTGTTATGGTGATATGTGATTATAAATATGTATTTTCTCACAATGCGGGACGTTTTTAGTGATACGTTGTAATTCCCTTTGTGCCACCATATCACATACGCACCCCGGTATTTTAATAATGTAATATGTAAATTGCTGAAACTAGAATTTGCTGAGTGGTTGAAGTGTACATCAGCCGAAATGCAGGCAATATATCTATATTATAACAGAATTATATATATCTTGGAGTTGTTTATTTTAGTAGTTGTGTTTTTATATGTGATGTGAATATTATGTGAAGAGAAGAAATAAAGTATCAGGTCCGAATATTGGGATAAATATTGTTGTTTGTTTACCACATCCAGTCAATCATAAATGAAATCGACTCAAGCATCAATGGCACCGGCACAGGTGAGGGGCGGTCGTCCCCTCGAAAAAAATGTTGGAAGGAGGAACGTCGCCCCCTCAAATCAAGCTGAAACCCTTGTATGTCAGCAAAATTTGCCTCTCAAAATGCAGGAAATAGCGTTTGAGATTTCAAAATTGAGCAGATCTCGCCTCCATGCAAACATTTTGCGTCGCCTCTGAGCATGTAAGAAAAAATCGGCAAAACGGATCTTACAATGTTATTATGATGTAGTGTAAATAATGTCACTCTAATACAACATCCACACAGGTAACACAATTATTATAAATTGCACCTATAGTCATTTGCATATACATATACCTATGCCATAGAACAAAGTAATTTGAATACAATTTACTCCGTGATATAAGTTTGTACACTAATTATTTTAATTTGTTGCCCGTTGCTCACGACTAGTGATGTTTTGGTATGGTTGACACTTATAAGGACTACTTCGAAAGGCACACCAGTATGAAATTAATTCATTTTCAATACAGTCTAAACAGATTTCAAAATATCCTTTACCCGGACCCAGACCCACACACCTATTCTCATGGATACACTATCTATACATTGCAATTGATCGGCGTATTTGTGGTTGTGTGTGTCTAAATTTTAGTTTGAAATAACCATTACGTATTTTCTTCTGATTAAAGGATTTGTTTTATAAATTACAATATGATATTTCAGGCAGTCCTTACTCATTTTACATTTGCATAATAATGAGTCTAATTCGCTGACTGAATATAAACATCATAACATGACCCATACTCGAAGTTTTACGTTCAAATCTGACGACGTGTCTGACCTGTCAAGTTACCAACTCCCTCAGATAATGTGCTTCCACGGGAAACAAACCTAATAAATACGTATACAGATTTACATCAATTGTTTTCCCTGCCATACTTTATTACTTGCAATGTGACTTCCTACGTAAATTTTTCTGCAATTAACTCGAAGTTTACATTTTAAACTAAATTGCTTTAGTACGTTATTGGAACGTTGCAGACAGGCAGCCGAGTCTGTGATTCTGATTTTGTTTGTTATGTGTTATTCCACTGAAACCCGTATAACCAATGATAGTATTACACGGTGACCTCCCATGGAGGAAGTTAATAGTGAGATTATTGCTTCCTATAAACACAATTTTTTTTATTTAAAAGTAGTACATGCTTTCTCTGACACAGCAACACTGTTATTGTTATCTATAGAGAAACGTCTGTCAATAAAATGATACATTCAATATAAGGTTACATCGAAGGTTACTATTACCATTTTGGCGTTAACTAAACACAACATTTGTTTGCATTAATTTTGACGTGTAAGCATCTCTAAATAAAACCACTACTAGCAAAGACAAGTAACTAAAATTTAAAACATTTAAAACTTACTTAAAACAGTTTAGTTCCAGAATATGGTCGTGTGTGCCTAAAATTGCACATTTTCAGCTTTAATGAGTTGAATATTTCCAAAATAATCGCATACACCAGCAGTAAACACAATTAAGTCCAATTTTAGAGACCGTCCCAATATTTCGCTGCTTGATTTATTAGTACACCTGATTTGAACATCTGCGAAAGCACGTAGTAAATAAGTATATACATGGAATAGTATCAGGCCTAACTGATTGGAATTGGTGAGTTCAGATGGAAAGACACGCCGGTAATCAGCAGCCCATTCACCAACGTATGTATTAATCGATCGAGGTCAGCGTATTGACCTTATTGACCTTAATGCAAACACTAAAACTGTAAACTCATCTTAGTTATTCCATGGTTATTCGTACAAACTCTTGGTAAGATAAATTTGAAAGAGTTCTGGTGTAAACAAATTGTTATTAAGCTTTTAGTTGTAGAACTGTGTTCATGTGAGTGTTGCTTTTAAGATTACACTGACGCATGGATCGAATATCAGGATATATTTTATTAATCATGCATGGCCTACATGTTGAACTTCACCGACGTAAAACTGCTGACTCATTGTTTGAGTTAAATCCTTTAAAAAAGCCGTTGAAATCTGCTCTGCTGTTAGTACTACCCTTGACATCGCCAGTTTATAAACGATTGACTCACCACCATGCCGAAATACAAGCTACATTACTTCAACGGGCGAGGCCGTGCCGAGACCTGTCGTTTATTATTCGCACAGGCTGGGGTAGAATATGAAGATAAACGATATACAAGAGAGGAGTGGGCAACGGTGAAAACCGGTGATAGTAAGTACTGAATATAAAGGTTTCTGCCTGATTTTGGAAATGGGTTGGGGGAAGGATATGGTGGGTATGCGCCGCCCACTTATGGGTGTACATTTTATTATTCTGTAATATACACGTAGATGCGCTTGGTTTATTTTCTACCGAAAATTATTACCCTGGCGTATGGCTGTGGTAGATATTCCCTAAACGTGCTGGAATTTATAATTTGGTGATGAACACAATTGCGTGCTCACATGCACAGATGGAAAATCTATTTGCATAGAAATGGGGTATCTAAAACTAACAAAGTGGGCATAAACGAAGTGAGCTTGTCGGCACAACAGTACTCCCTTCACAGGTGAGACTCACTGTCGATTATCTGTATTTGTGACTGCGTTAATAATACTACTACTGAGAGTTCAGTATCATGCAAATGACGCTCAAGCCTGGTGTGTCGATTCGTACGCTATTGTTTGTCGTACACAACCATGCATATATAAGGGATACTAATGATACACAAAACACATACTTCTTCCGAGTATGTGCACAAACAAAAAGACACTTAGCGGTTACAAGGCTTGTAAACTTGAACTTTGGATGACCCCGTACACGTAACAAAGCAATAACATATCCACGACACTTATACTAGTATTCACCCCAAACCCAACGGACAGTCCCAACCGAGTAGGATCGATCATTGATAAGGTAAACTCGCCATGGTGTTATATTATTATTATTTGCGAAGCCCTGCCTGAATCGAACGATGTATGAAAGCCGGATTAACGGCATGAAAAGGAATTCTATTCTATAGGTCGTTCAATTATTATTGGGACGCTTTGTCTGTGCACTGTTTGTCCGGTCTTCCATTTTGCGAATGCTACGAACGAAATTGTCGTGTTGTTTCTATCTTTTTCATTGCGTTATTGGAAGTCATTAAGTTAGAAATCGTGACGGCAATAAACACACTGAAAGTTGAAGTTCAATGTGTTCCAGAAATGATATAGTTGTTGGAACCAAAAGGAAACACACCTGTGATCCTAGCAGTACCGTAACTGTATTAGTTTACAGCAGTTGTGTTTCACTGTCGACCACGAGCGAAACAAACACAGTTCAAAGTAAGCTTAGAAAGAACTCCCGTGGAAGAACAAAATACAAATAATGAATACCGCGTATACTTTATTAGTAGCACATCATAAAAATTGCATTTGTTGCATGCATAATCATAGAAGTATGTATTATTTTGAACACATACTTGCCTTTGTCATTTACATTTGAGCTGATGTGATTATAATAGAACAAATACAGCATTTAAAAATAAAAAATGCAATAAAGCAATTATAAGTAACAATTACAAGCAATTATAATGCTAGTTGCATGTTTCTTTCTGCAACGGCACGATATTTTAAATATGCAAAATACTGAGGTCACAGGATATAATATTCAGTCATCTAATACATTATAACACTAGTTGCATGTCGCTATCTGCACCAGTGATTACGGTTATGCATAGTAATCGGGTCACATGACCACACACGGTAATCTGATACGTTAGAAATATCTCATATGCAACTCTCTATCTCCAACAATGTCTGAGATAGTACAGTTATATATGAACATGTGGTGTGTGGTGGCATGTTAGTCATATTTCTTTTCAAAAGCCTTTATCTTAGCACTGCTTGCATGTCTTTAACTGCGACAGTACTTGAGATATTACAAACAAATGAACCATTTATATACTTTCACTCTGAAGTAATCAGATCAGTGGATTATCCTAAAGCATCTATGTACCAAATTTCATCGACATTGGATAAGTGGTACTCAAGATATTTGTGGAAAACGTATAAATTGGTTATTTTATGCAAATTAGGTAATTAGTATGCACACAATTCAACCATAAACTAAATAAGCATGTATATGGCTAATTCCAGAGCATCTATGTATCAAGTTTCATTGAAATATGATGAATATTTGAGATAATGGTGGAAATGCTAAAAACTGGATAATTAATATGCAAATTAATATGTACATAATGACCAGAAACTGTTAGGTAGCTCTTTGACAAAAAGTGGAAGACTTAAATTGGCTAATTAGTATGCAAATTAGATTATTGAATCATGCATTTCAACCAAAAACTAATATCTAAGTACAAAGTTTGATTGAAATATGTTTTATCATTCATGAAATACAAGTGAAAATGTTTAAATCAGCTAATTATTATGCAAATGAGGTAATTAGTATATACGGATTTCAATCAAAACCTAACCAGTGTTATCCCAAAGCATCGATGTACTATGTTTGATTGAAATCTGATAATTGTTGTGTGAGTGAAAGAGACACGCATATATATATATATATATATATATATATATATATATATATATATATATATATATATATATATATATATAAATGATTTAGGGTAAAACGTGGTACGATTTGTCATTCATTGTCGGAACATACACGCAGTCAATGTAATTTAGCAGTTGACAATTTATTTAATTTGTGGATATTTTATACAGTAGTAATTACCCCAGGACTTGTAAGTAACGTTTGGCAGAATATATAATGAGTTGTTTGGATTTCCATAAATACAAATATTCAAAGTGTATTATTGCCAATGCCATGCACACGTGAATATTGTTATTTGCACTGAAATATTGCACTTGAATGACAACTCTTTAAAGATTGGGTGGCCAATAAGGTAAATCTTGTTGGTAGCTTCACATTGACTCGAACCATTTGTGCGGGTTTTTCATTCCAGAATTTCAATTGGGTCATATGCCTGTGTTGGAAGTGGATGACACGGTGCTGTCGCAGTCAAATGCAATTGCTCGTTACCTTTCCAGGGAATATGGTAAGTGGCATAAAAAACATACACACGTGAAACGTCATGCACATTTTTTTTTAATTTTAATATTTTAGTCAATAATTTTCTTTAAAAGAGAGCATTAATATGTATAACTTCAGGCTTTTCGGGAAAGACCAATTTAGAAACGGCACAGATTGATATGATAGTAGATACAATGGTGGACATCGTTACCGCTTTTGGAAAAGCTTGGTTCGAGAAGGACGAAAAGAAAAAGGTATTGTTATTAATTATTATCATTATTTATTTATTATACATCTGTCACTGTAACGCCCTATGTTAAGGCGTGCCGTAATTTTGTGGTATTTTACAGGGTATTTTCATCCTATCATATAAGGAACTGCGAATTCAGAATATTGAATACCTACGCATGTTAGCGTCTAATACTGTGGGAATGCCCGAAATCCAAAATGTTTAGAACAGAATTATTTGTGTGGAGTCCGGTCAAATTCTGGTGGCAGGCATGTTTGTTTTTTCATTATAGAGGACGCTTACGCGCGTAATCATTTGTCAGCATGGTATGTCTGTATTGTCAGACTCTGAAAAATTCAAATTAGTATTAAATATTATTAGCATAAAAAATATTCCTGGTAACCACATGTACTAGTTTTCAGTAGGCTCGTACTTATTTCATACTTACGTCATCGTACCTCATGTTAAAGTGCAGATCGCGTGGGATCCAGAGATGACCGGTATTCTGATCAGTAATGGTCTTCAACAGCGAGTTTTTCATTTTCGGTTATTTCTCTGTTCTGGAATTACATTGAATGCATTCGGCTTCACCATGATAAACATATATTTCTGTTCATATTTTACACGTTAAACATCAGCTATTGTCTTTTAAAAATAATTTAGCGCCATAATGCCTATTAAAATTACTTTGTATATAGTCTTTGTACCAGAAACGGAATTTTATTTCCATTTTGTTTGTATATTATAATTAGTGGATTTATACGCGTTGTAAGAGATTAGTATTTTTTAGTAGGTGTTTGCGAGTATTTTATGTGTTATGTGTTATGTGCAATCAAGTACAAGAGCATCTAAAAATAGTACTCCAGAATGTTCTATGTAAATATGCTTGACTATATGAATATGCATCTGGTCACACATATTATGCATTCAGTCAGTCAACTCAATGCAGTCTGTTCTAAAAAAAAAACAGTATAGTAAAGTTCAAAGTAGACAGTGGTAACGGCAAGGGTGACTGTCAGTGACAAGTCTAATCGTGTCACAATAAACCCAGGACCCAGTGGTATATCGTCCGGCGACAAGGACAGTAGTTTATCATAGTGGGTAAACAACGTGCAAACGAGTTCAACGCTGCGGAAGGTAGCGGCTATTATACCATTTGGGAGTTATATCTACGAGAATATCTTCGTACCGTGAGCTATCGCGTAGAACAACTAAACAATATGTATTTGCGCTACTTAGTAATCGACATTGTGTTTCTAGTAGAAACTGCAATTATTTTCAATAATTATTTATTTTGTAACCTTGATGTGTTGGTTCATAATAATTTAAACGCCATTTGTTACACAAGTTCACACTGTACATCATTCTTATATTTGCACGGTGATCGCGTCGATTACAAAACCCATTGGCACTTTACGTAAACACAAACTTAAATTTCACAGAATTTTTTGTAAAAATTATGTATTGTTGCTGTTTTTTATTCAACTTGTTACGTCATAACGTTTGTTCATTAGGCTGAGATGCTGGAGGAAGGCAAAGCTAACACCCTTATACCAAAGTTATCAGCACTAGAAAAAGGTCTTATCGCAAATAATGGTGGGGACGGTTTTTTTGTAGGCGATAACGTAAGGAATTATCATGTCTCAATGTTATCTAATTATAATATTTAATTCCAAATTAAAATAGTTGGAAAATCTTCAGGAAATGTCCATTATGGAGCAAAAACTGCGGTACAAATGACGCACAGTTGCCCACAATTAAAGAACATTTTATATGAACGCATATCGAGAATGGTGTCTCGATGACGTCTAATATTCCACTGTACGAGACGATGTATACTAAGGTTATAACCAAATGTACACACTTATTTTCAGGTATCGCTGGCTGATCTCACTTTTGTAACATCTCACGACATGATTTCCCTTATGGTCCCGGATGCATTGGACACATTTCCGAAGCTGAAGAGCTTATGTAGCCGAGTTCTCGCTTTGCCCAGGATTGCCGAGTGGGTAAAAAAGAGGCCAGAAAGCACGTTTTAATATTGGTCGAAACCCCTTCTAAAAAGAATCATCATCTGTAATAGACTTCTGGGATTTTTACTTGTAGCGGTTCTTTTTCACTAGTTGATTGACCTATTTAACTCAAGCGTGAGAGTAGCAGTCTTAGCCATGGAAATTGTTGATGTCAATGATGTTTCAAGGTCATCATGCTATAAGCATATAGAGTCTAAAATAAACACTACATCAATACAGCAATGCTCATGGCCAAGTTCATACCGGTCAAATGCAGTTGGGAAATTAAGATACCCAATCAATGTTTATTTCGATGCATGGACGGGAACAGTCCTATTATCGGGAAGTTGAACTTGATATATGTATAAACTTTTAGGTTCATTTTCTATTCTATAAATTTCCATAATCCCATAATCTGGGTATTCTCCGAGTTGTTCTGCTGAATGTTGTTTTGGGTGGATTAAATATAAGCTACTTTGCAGTAAGTTCGTGAAGAGAAGTTTTCAATCTTGGCAATTCGTTGTCAAAGAACACATTCGATGAATAAACTGTATTTTACTATAAGATGATGAATATTGTGTTGTTATGACCGTTGTTGCATATTTACGATGAACAAGATTGTAACAATGTATATCAAATGCCAATCCATTTACTCAGTTTTCACAATAGCTACTATAAGTACTGAAACAAAAATACTACTAAGCACATTCTCTATTTACGAAGACGTACTATCTGATAAGAACCAGTGTAGTATTTAGCAAGAACAATGCACGTGCGAGCTGCCCCATGGAAATACGAATCTATAGCTTCAAACACAACATACATCATTACAACTAATTATCATAGTTTCCCGTCAATGTATATTTCACTAATTGACTCTGACGACTCAGCAGCTATGACCACAAACTTCGATAGCAGGCATTATTCGCATTTACTAGTAAGGCACTTTTCCTTTGCTCCTAGCAAAGAGGTTGTTATCAAACGATCCAAGTGGAGAATACAACAAGCTGTGCTGAAAAAAAAGAAAGAAATAAAAACCCGAATAATGACGAGAATAAAAAACTCTAGAAATCTGCACCGGTCACATACTCGAACGCACCTGCGGGAGGGTGGGGAGTATCAACTCTCGCTATGCATGTAAGGGGAGTTGTAAATCTACGAGTATGCTTACTGCATTGAACACATAGTGATGTTATGTAAAATTCGTAAATACCCTGCTTAATAGCTACCTTCGAAATAAAACTGAATGAAATGAGTGTAAAACACAAAGCTAAATGCTCCATGGCAACGCGTAGACTGACGAAAATCTGTCAAATTACACACAAGCCACCGCGGTATGCGGGGAGCGCCCTCTAGGGACAATGTAAACATCCAATTCCTGCTATACTGCGTACAGGAAGGTAATTTCATTCGTGCGCTGCCCTGATAGTTCTAAGCCAAAATTCTATGGCTGGCAAGTTTGCAGTATCAATCTCTGCTTCGGTATAACCCGGTTACAGTTGAAACCATGTAAAGTTGATCAACCATTTTTCAATTTGCTGCTCGAATGTAAACGTCTTCTTAAGTTAGATTTTCCTTTTTTTCTGCTAGTTTGCTCTATGTACTATTTAAAACAACGACACGAGCATTCTTCAATGACATTTTAATTAATGACTGAAACGATACACAAACATTGTTGCACCAATGAAAACATCACGCAGTGTTTATCTCACTTCAATTTCCTAGAAGACTACCCGTTTCGCAATTGTCCCCACTTAAAGATGAAATTTATTCGTATTTAAGTTCCTCTTTGTATGAACCAAATTTAGCAAACACTGTAGTGAATATTTCACAAAATATTTAGAAACAAAATGTTCGTTGACCTTTAATACGTCAATATTTTGCCATTTAATGGTCTGACATTGACTTATTCCCTTTTCCATTAACTGAATAAAAAAATGAAGATTGCGAATTCCCATGAGTGCTGATTATCAATTACGCCTTAGCAAAATCCGGTTCCATAAAACAATTCCGTTTTTTAAAACTCGGCTGGATCCCAGTGGAATTGGTGATTTTCAAACCCTGACCTTGATACGACATTTAAATACAGACTTTAGTAGAATTCAATTTAGTTTGTCAAAATTGGTTAACGAATTAGTTGGGTCACATTACCTTATGATCATTAGCTGTTATTGTAGCACGTGTCAGCCAATACTTGTGAATTTGTATTATCTAGTAAATACTCGGGTGTGTGCATTATATAAGACGACATGCTGCCAACACCAGAGCTGTCGACCTGCAACACGATTCTGAATACCATGTAAAATGCATTTTACAGGCTTATCCGTGGAGAAAGACAGAGATATATTGCTCTGATTGGTCGAATTGTTTTCAACCGCCATTTTTAATTTTTACAAGTTATTTGAATATTTATAAACTAAACGTAAATAACATCCGAAAATCACGTGCGTGTCGCATTGTAATAACACGTTGATTTCGCATTTAAGCTTACCTCAAGATGAGCACGTGTAACCAGAATTTATTACCTTGGATTGGTAAAAATTTCACGAGTAATCAATTCAGTATTTGGCGCAGTGTCACGTTAATTATTTAACGGCCATCGAGTGTCATAATTTATTATACAAATGAATCCATTCACCATACACAAGTGGGCATAGAAGAGTTCATTAATCGTCGCATCGTTGTTCATTGTCGGAACACCGTTATTCTATGGTCAAAATGTTCACATGTCTTGTGTCATGCCTGGCTGAAATAACAGAAAGATCCAGATCCAGTCTTCTAATCGGGTAAAAATTAAAACACCTGCGAAGTGTCAATATATTGACACAGTGTTATTTTTCATGTTTCTCGAAAAATGTAGATAAAATCTCCAAAATTAACCTCTAATATGCCAATAAAGGGGATAATCTCGGACTCGATCCAATTGCCATACACACATGTCTCAATATGCAGCCAATGGTTTGGTCACCGCGTACAAACGAGACGAAAATTGTAATAATGTCTTGTCGGAGTACGACCTGACCGATGACAACTGGATGACTGGTCCAGTGACAATACCACAGAACATCGGCAATGCCCAATTGACGTCATCAGAATGCGTTAGTACAGTTTCATATCTATTACAGGCATACGATACAACAAGTGTAAATGACAGTCTTTAATGTTTTTTAATATATATTTTTATTCAAATCATAAAATATATCAATTCATGTTGTATTCCAAATTGAACACATAAGTGTACATATCTTATACAAATAGATTTACATGTCAGTCTTTGGTCTTTTTTCAATCCATTCTGAAATTTTCGGCAAAGCGATTACTTTCTCGTACAGAGCTTTCAACTTTGGGAAAGCATCTACTGATGAGGGACCTGGCAAGGGACGTTGTACGTGGTTCACAAATACCAAGTCGGCCCATGTTAGCTGTAGAACAATTACAACGAAAACAATTAACACAATATCACAGATCCATTTATCATTGAATACTTTGGGATTTGTTTCAGTTGTAAGAAACACTGCGATTCAAAAAATCGTAAACTCGTCATGGTTTGCAATTGAATCAGTATGGTGCTATGTTATCCTCCATGATTTATTTCGGGTACATAAATTAGTCAATTTACGTAATCCAAGCTAACAGCATCTACGAAATATATTTTTAATTTTAGCTCATTATCTCACCTCGCTTCCAACAAAATATCCATCACCTCCGTTGTTCTGGATAAGAAGTTTCTCCAGGGATGTATTGCATGCTGGTAATGTTTTACTGGTGAATTCCTTCTTCAATTCGTCCTAAAATTAAACCATTCATTTCGGAAACATTTGACAGGGGTTAGGCAGATATTTGATTCAGATCATACAAAGTTGGAATTACACGAACTTCCATTATACGAATAAACGCATTAAGAACATTATGTTTAACGATGCCGAGTGGAATATACAAACTACATTTCCATATTTTAGGATACAATACCCACTTTCTTAGTTTCGTCTTGTTCTTTGATTATCTTGACAAGGTGCGGCGAAAGATCTCCCATGGTATCCACTATCATATCAGCGCGGGCTTTCTCCATGTTATTTTTACCAGCAAGGCCTGTGTAGTGTAATAAAATAAGGTTATTACAGCGTACTGTCTGAGTGCATACTTTGAGGTATCTTCGTAATAACCTTATTATTATACATCTTTTCCTTCCAAGGATACATCATGGGAATGCAAAATTAATATATGTGTATATATAAGAATGCATACCAACCAATGTGATACTGTAAATTAAGAATGTATGTACACGTATTATAATATAATAAGTCATTGTATGGTTAGTAATTCATTAAATTGCTTTCTTACCATGCTCGTTTGCAAGGTAGCGAGCTATAGCGTTGGACTGAGCAAGCATGACACCATCCACCTCCAAACATGGCATCTGACCCAATGGAAATTCTGTGACAAAAAACATATACACACGTGTATGAATTCATATATTTAATTGTTTTTGTAAAACAAAATTATTATTAAGATTTAGCAGATTGAAGATTTTATAACTCAATAACAACAAGTGTATTGTACCAGTAATTGGTACATTACTAAACAAATGCTCATGAATTATAGGTAATGTAGTTAGTTTGTAATTCGGTTGTTATCGTGCAAATTAAAATGATTGCTGTTTTCAGTTGTTGGTTGCAGTGTACTGTAAGCACCGAGTGCAGAAGGGGTGGTCGCCCCCTCGAAAAAAAATATTGTGTCAGCAAAATTTGCCCCTCAAAATTCAGGAAATAGCGTTTAAAAAGGTCTAAATTTCAAAATTGTTAAGGGGGAGCATGCTTTTCAGAGGGTCTAAATTCAAAATTGTTAAGGGGGAGAATGCCCCCGGACCCCCTAGTAAGGTAGCGCTTTCGACGCCAGGTTGGTGAGCAGATCTTGCCCCATGCAACATTTAGTGTCGCCGCCTCTGGTGTGCTAAGTCATCGTGATGAACTATACTGTCATAACTGGGAAATGCTACGTTTGAATTGTGTTAAGTGATCTTTCTGAGTTCGAAAACGGTGGGGGGGGGGTTCCTCTGTGTAAATTATAGTATGTTCAGTTGAGGGCAGTGTGGTATATTTCAAGCTTGTATTATGTTTTCAAATTGGTTGGTTGTGTTTATTTGAAATGTCCGGTTTCGAGTAATAACATTTATTTACTGTCTGGCATGAAATTGAAATGGCTTGTTGAGCAGTTCACGAGCTAGAAACGGTCATGTTCATGGGTGGTGGCTGGAAGAGCATAGAACAATTGAATAGGCAGCGTGCATGCCAACTTGGTTGGAGACTAATTACACCATGACGATATTGAACATTACTCATTATATAGTGTCAATTATTTAAATAGGGATAACTGGTTCTATAAGTGAATTCATAATAGAGCGGCAAGCACAATATGAGTATTCCAAGTTTTATAAGGCAGTTTGGTGTTTCTCCGTTTTTGGTTATTGTGTTTTAGCTCTAAAGTGTGTCTGCACATATCCCTAAGTAATCTATGTAACAAATTCGCCCAGAATTTATAAAAAATCTACTTTTGAGATCTTGCTTTAATAGCCTGAAATGAGACAAATAAACAAATTAGCTACTTAACATGCATATACATTGCCCCATATATATCTATATATCTGCATATAGTATATACATATATGATTTAATGACTGCAACATGCAGTAAATGCATCACACAAACTTGCAAAACTTTGTTATGACATATAACGTACTACACAATGAAACAAACGTAATACATGATATAACGAATGCAAAACACGATATAAAACGCACACCAAGATACAGTGATGTCTCAGATATTAATTGTTGAATTCCCATTCTAAAATGGTGCAGTCCTATTCAAGAAATAGAACATAGAGGGTTGTCACCAACTCGAAAATAATTAGAATATTATTCAATTGCCAGTGAGACAGTTATTAGCCTATTTTTATGTAGATACCTAGAGTATCAAAATTAACAATTTAACAATGATACGGGTAAAACACGTATCTTAATATGATGACACTAAGTAGCTGGGGAGTGCTGTCCAGTTCATGCGCTTTGTGTGGTGAATACCATGTTGTTCCCCTGTAAGACTCCATGTTGTTTGTCTACCAGTACTACTGACAGTGACTTGATGACGATGTGTTTTCAGAATAAAGACATTATATTTACCCCTTCAATGTAGGCATGTGTGTATCACTTTACTATCCTATCTGATTCCATACTTTTCATATACGATGATTCGTTCGAAATTGTCTTGGTTCGTTTATATACGCACAACTGTTTGCACCAATGTTTGTGCCTGATAAAAAAAACAAACTACAGACTGACTGCCACTCGAAATGAGACGTGTGAATTAATCATACACTCCCACCTCGATCGAAGTAATAAAACAACACTGCCACCTTTAAAAGCGCCAGCAACTGCCTTGTTTGAAGAGAATTCGACAACACAACTATGACGAATGTGTAGTACGTGATTGATATCAGATGATTTTTACCAAACAAGTTTCGACCTAACATCGAGTTGTATCATCATAATTTATAATTGGAATTACTAATACCATGGACGCACACAGCACACCAATATAAGTCTAAGCTAATACAGAATAGTTTAATAAATACAATAACTGACCAGACATATAAACAGAATATCATTGTTGATAATAGTAAAATCTGGATTTTAATTTAAAAGCACATTCTGTATTGTGGCTATCGGCACTGGTTTTGGCAATTGCTTTCCTCTGCTCTGTTGTGGTGCACGAATTAATCAAACTGATAAATTGAATCGCCAATTTACAAATGACAGCATTTATCCATCTTGCAATATGTTGTGCAGTGAACTGTACCCTGGATTCGTGCTACATAATAGCATTAGTACTACATTATATACGACCAGGTCAGGTTGTTGTAATCTCCCACTCTCCGACGCATAACATAAACCTGTAGTTTGCACAGCGTCTATGTTACGTTTATGTTCACTTACTTCCACTTGCTTTTTCTGCAGGCCAATTTTCTCTCTTAATTCTCACATCTTCATAGTCTACACCAGCCGCAGCTAAAATGAGACGACTTGGTTCAGCCCGGGCACGCAAGTTAAAGTAGTATAGCTTGTAACTTGGCATGGTTGCTACAGAAAGAACGTTCGATGTGTGCTCTCGTGAACCTGTGAACTTTACCCTGTTAATAGTTCTTATCAGGTCGATCGTCAGGTGACCACCACCTCTCATGTTGATTCATTGGCGTTGGCTATAATTCTGTTTCTGTATGTAAGTGTGTTTGTATTAATAACCGTGTCCACACGTTTGCCAAGAAACGTGTTGGAGACCAGCTTTACAGTTAAACCGGCGTTGAAACACTTATGAACAAAATAAGCTGGCGCCATGCCGATCTAGTTTAAGACGTCCTAAAACACAAATCCCAACTAGCGCCTCGTACTTACGGGAACGGTTTTAGCACGCGTGAACAATAACGCCGCCCTAAGGACACACCCTCAACGTCAGCCTCGCTCTGGAGTTACATTCATTTTAAGTATTTTAAAGAAACATGGCGGCCGATAACAACGCCGGTTCTGTTTAGTCTTTATACACATGAACACTTGAAACCACTGATACCGATTGGTTACCAAGTTAGTCAAGCCAGCCAAGGACCAATTATTTCGCCGAAGCCTCAACAGTAACCCTTGGCAGATTTCACCACGATTTTGTGTGTGGCGCACGCCCTCAAGCGATTAAAAGATTCAATTGGGCTCATTTGCATTACCCGATCAGAACTCACGATAGAAACTACAAATACAAGAAAGCGCTTAGTGCTATATCTGAGGGAAATAATGTATTTATTGCAACGAAGACCGGCTCGGGCAAGTCTATATGTTATCTGTTTCGACAGTTTACTAAAACACGATTTGCACAAATATTTAGACATTCCATCGTTTTCATTCATTCGACTACAAGCAATTTTCACGTTGGAATAAACAAACATGGAAATGTGTTCTTGACCGGCGGTGAATCAGCGCAAAGCCCAAACGCCGCCATTGTTTTAATATGTGATGGTTCACATTGATACAGCCATGCTGATTGGTGTAATGAAATACCGCTTTTCCTATTACGATCACGCACGGGTTCGAGGGTCGGTTATCAATGCCCGGCTTTAGCGAAACCATGTGATTCCGAGGATGGTCAATCCGGCTCTGTGACACACGTGTGAATATTGTATACGTTACTTGAATGAGTTCCTTAATCCAATTTAACAAATCAAACGAGTATAACTTGTTACGCCAGTTACGTGATACAAAAACAGTTAAATGGCATTTGAGAGGGGGTGTAAAACCAGACCTGACCAGACATGGCACGATAGGAGATAACCACTTATGTCAGTGATCATAAACAACGGCGGACGGCTTTCGGCCACCATATACGAGTATACTAGCAGACTACGAATCGACAGAAACCAGTGCGGGAAGAATTGTATGCGTTTCATTGGCCGGACAGGATAAAATTGAACAGACGGAATGAATCAGTACAACGTAACGGAAGGGTTACATGGGATGCTGTATTTATATTCAGAACAATGACGACTTTACCAATATAGCCGCCAATAGACAGAGGCGGCGGCACGAAAATTTGCATGGGGAGGGGGGTCTGCTCACCATCCATCCCTCCGAAGGCGCGACCTTACTAGGGAGGTCCGGGGGAAATGTCATGAATTAGTTTTCGCGTAGCTGTGAATGGCTATGTTATGTCTGTCATCGTTTAGGCTCATGCGAGGTCCTGGACGGAACTTAACTCAGTGATTTGGAACTAATTACGATATAACCGTTGCCACCCGGACCGCTGTTTCTGATAATTGGGTATTCGCAGTTAGTAATATAGTGAACGATTAATCAAAAGATATGACGTATCCAGTATTTGGTGTGATTGGCTGTATGATTGAAGGCCACGCCATAGAGTCTTTAAACTTCTTTGTAATTGGTTAAGATTTTGAAAGTGAATAAAAGAGTTTTAGTTGGCCTTGGCGAGAACACCACGAGAGACACAGTCTTGGACCAGCCTTGCGATAGTCTTATAGAGTACTCGACTAACCGACTAAAGTCGATACGTATTTCGTTGTGTTCGTCTATTTGACTGTAAAGCTTAAGTGACTTTTCGGTCCGGTACCTCAAGCAGACAAAATATAGAGACAGACGACAGACGATATTCTCCCTTGACACGTGCTGGAGAACGTACCCCGAGCCCAGAGAAAACTTCCCCCGTGATAGAAATTTGAAATCTAGACCCTCTGAAACGCCACTCCTGCATTTTGAGGGGGCAAATGTTGCTGACATACATAACATCCCCTAACCCAGGTGCCGCCACAACTGCTACAAACACCGCAATGCAGTGATGACATTCATCGCGAAACACTTCGAACAAAGAAACTGTTCAGCATTTTAATTCGAAACCAATGCTTACTCGTGAAGGCGGTCGGCGAATTACCAATGAGTTGTAGCACACATTGTTCAACATTTAGGAGTTCACTCAGATAGTACTCTTACTACGTACAGTGTTACAATTCATTATCAAGTGCCACATGTTAATACGTTAACCATTGAATCAATTATGTATATAAAATTGAATATACCCTGAACAAAGGTTTTGAACCAAAACATTGTAAAGGTTTTAAATGACAAAGTTCACTTTATTAATTATTCACTATCTTATTCCATAGTCTCATATATGGTTAGCTCAGAGTTGTTCGTTCTGAGTTTTTCGTTTTTGAATAAATTATAGAAGGGTTGAGCTTATCCAATGTGTGCGTGTTCCATTAGTTTTGTAAATTGTTGTATATACTTACATAACAATCATTGTATCGCAATGTTTTGCTTGTCAAAACGTGATAACATGTTTGGCATCATTTTTGAATTAACAGATTCAGGTTTTTACCGAATTAGATATATTATAAGTTGTCATCACCACATTTGGTAATTTTGATCTATTTGCTAAGTTCAAATTTATTGCACTATTCAGACTTAGTAAGAAAACAAAAACCTGATATAATCATCTCTGTAATACAGAGCGAGTGTTGACCTTTTGAAATTAGATATACACAGAAACAGGGATGGTAAACATTAAACAGTATAATTTTTGTCACGTATTTTATTGTTTGCCTATTATTGTTAAATGTTAGTTACTAGTTACATAATTTGAATTCTGTAATATTGTTATCCATATATTAAAATTTAACTATTCTATCTAATTCAGTGTTACATGCGATTCTGGCCACAAATGAGAATAGGTTCTAAATAACGCAAGAAAAAGTTGAGTGCGCGGTGAACTTTTGAACGTCGCGATATTCTGCTTGAAGTTATTTAAGTTTGTGGTATCAATGAATAACTGTGCATGTAGAAAGTGACATTCTAATGTGCGTTGTGTGCATTTAATACACAGGTACATGACACACTGGTGAATGCTAACCATATTGTGTACAATCAACCTCTCATCAAGCTCTACTGAAATTATGTGAAGCTTCACTCGCAGATATTAACAGGAACATAACCTAGGTAAAATCAAGTTGAACTAAACACTTCTTAAAATCATTTAAATGAAAACATGGCAAAGAAACACTGAACCACAGGGTGGCATCCGAATTAATAAGCAGAATTTTTCTAATCACGCAAATATTTTAACAACTGCTTGTTATCAATGGATTTGGCACCGTATTGAAAATGTGAGCGAAGATGGAATCTTAGAAATTGAAATTTCTCACGATGCCCACCACCAATACAAATGAAGGACACAACCTCAAACTAGGTATGATTGTCAGGTCAACATCATACATGTTTCAATAATTATGCAGCAATTGGTGTGCGCATCTCGTACAAACGGAAGTTCTTAACAATGTTTAGTTTCGTTTCGTTGGCCTGTTCGATTTCGTCTGTGTCAGGGGTAACCCCTCAAAACTCGTACGACATATATAACAAGTGCACATCAGTTTTTAATTACCGAGCTGCACATAGTTGAATTCAAATGTGCATTTTTTAATGTTATATTACACACGTAAGTGAACGTATTTTTTGCATATACATTTACAGGTCAGTTTTTGGTCGTTTTTCAAACCATTCTGCAATTTTCGGCAAAGCAATTACTTTCTCATACAGTGCTTTCAATTTCGGGAAAGTATCTACTGATGATGGGCCCGGGAAAGGACGTTGTACGTGGTTCACAAATATCAGAATTAAAGATATTATCTATCAAAATTTGAATCCAAATCACACCAAACAGTACTCAATCACAAAAACACTTTACACTAAATTTTACAAGTTGATTAAATATGTAATTTGTTTATAGAAATGTTGCTAATATATTAATCGACATGAGTAATGACTTGATTGAAGTAGATAGAGGTGATAATGCAAGTCACATAAAAAGAGTTCTATCACACAGAATTGAATTGGTGCAGATGCTGCAAAATATATTCATACATTTCGTTGTAAAGACTATGTTATAGAAGTGACAATGCATTGGAAATATAGTCTTACCCCAGTCTTCTCAGAACAGATAAATTAAAACAATTAACGAGCTTAGTCTAACTATGCGCCTACACTTCTGAATAATAATATGGCGTACACAATGAAATCAGGGGAAATGTCCAGGGGAGCTACATGACTTGACTGGTTGAAATAATCGCAAAGTTTTCATAAATTAGTATTCATGAGCAATAAATCAGTTAAATTGTGCCAAAATTCATTCTGATAGCCATCATAGTAATTCTAATTTGACTGATTCTATCGCTGCGATATTGTTTTTTAAGACACCTTTTTGATCGGAGTCCAGCAAACTTTCGAAGTAATCAGAGGTTTATTTATTAGCGTGATCATAGAAGGTTACGAAATTCATGGAGGACGTTGATATTTCACTATAGTACCATTGCTTGAAATGGAGCAATTTTTGAAAGCAATAAAATCACGCGTAGAACTTACTACAACAAAAAACTGGTCAAACTAGTTGTCAGTTGATTTTTTTTTTGCAATAGACATAATTTTAGAACCCGAATATTTCTATGTGATGTTTCTATATATTGTTGAGAATTATTCTGTAAAGAAATCGATGAAATTATTTTATCTGTTTGTAAACGGGACATTGTTACTTCTACGATGGTCTACGAACGACTGACTTCGAAACGTTCCATCCAGTACGAACGGCGCCCTCTCATGCCAATCCCCCTGGAAATATCCATATACATGTGACCCATT